CGCCGGCCAAGGTAACCATGTAAAATTTTTCTCTTCTTTCTTGAAAAGTAGGAGAACCCCCCCCCCCCCAAAAAAAAAAAAAACACACACCGAAAAACAAACAAAAAACAAACAACCCCCCCCCCCAAAAAAAAAACAAAACACACGCAAAACCAGACAACACGTCATGAAGTACACACCATGCAGATTCGTCTCTTATTTTGGTATTGGGACAATAAAGTACTGCATAGGGTCTCGTTATCGGAAATGGAGAAAAAGACCTAGCCTCAGCGAGCCTCCTCCTGTGTATTATGGTAAATGCAACTATCAACTCACAATACATGTACAAACTTCTACAAATGTGCTCATTTCAGGTGTGCGGTTGAAACTCATGACCCAGCCACTAGGTTTGATGCCAATGTTGATATTTCTCTACAATGATATACAGTGGAACTCGGATTCAACGAGGTCGCCGGGCCTGACCTAAAATCTCGTTGAATCCGAGTGTTCGTTATAGCAAACATGAGGCTTTGTGTAGATAATTACAGGCACTGAGCAAGTATAAAGAGAAGTCACAAGTAGTTCCTGAAAAGCCTGCATATTATGAGCTGTATTAAAAAAAAGACCGATTCGTTCAAATGCACACGCCTATGTCATCTCGTTGTTCACCAAAAAGTTGTGTTGCTGTGTAGAGCCTAGCATACGACAACTTTTGATTCCATAGAGACCCGCGCACAATTCATTACGTAGATCTATGTCAAGACTAGACTACATTGTCTGACTGTCATTGTAGTAATGACCAGTTGCCGAGGGGGGCACGTTTATATCTGCGACGTTCAACGCCCGGACCGCTATTGTCCCCCCCTCCCCCCCCCCCCCCCCGACACGCACACAGTGTCACACGTGGGAAGGCTGCTCATCCGATCCCGACACACACACGCCAGAGTAGGCACGTGCGCGTGCCAACAACCCATGTGTTGGTATGAAAGAAGGCCGCTGATTGGTCGCATGCAATCGGCTAAGTGAATAATGGTTCAAGATGCAGGTGCAATGGCTGATTTCTGGGAACACATCAGGTTCGTTTTGGGAGAAAAATGAGCGAAGCCACGTTTGCGGGCGCTGTTCACCCTGGAAGTCTGGAAGCGACCTCGTTGAGTCCTAGCTCGCTGATTTAAGTGTTCGTTGAATCCGGATTATTTTTATTGATTTTAAATAAAAAAACCCCGGGGAATCTGTCTCATCTCGTTGAATCCGAGTTCTCGTTGAATCCGAGTTCTACTGTATAAGAGTGTAGTCTACGGGTGTAAAACACCCAGTCACGAGGAATAAGACATGGGATGTTATGTCACTGGGGAAAGGGTAAAAAAGGAAATTATAAAAATAAAAGTGCTAACCAGCATGGATACGTACCTTTCTAGTTGGAAAGTGTTGTTGTAATCGTCTGTGCATCGGTTCACATCATCTTTACACTGGGACGTCACAGCGATGACACAGAAAAGGAGCACTGGGTCATTGGGAAACAATAGGAAAGAATTAACTTGTGATTCAAGCAGGGTAGTTACATGTACTAGGGCTGGGCGGGTAGCAGGGTACCAGGGTTTTATACTCCCCTTCGTTAAATCAGAGACACTAAAATATAGAGACAGGAAACGAGGCCTCGCGGTCCGTGACAACAGAGCATTTGCGAACGTGACCGCTGAGACGCGAGCTAAAAATAACCAGGCGCGGTATCGACAGCGAAGCGCGTCGCGTCTAGCGAGGCCTAGGCCTAGCTTTCTGCGGCTTAGGCCTAACGCAATCAGAGAACTAGCCAAGGTTGCATATTTGTAAACACTGCCTCTACAATCTATACTCTTCTGGCCTACAGAAAAATTTACACATGTTGAAGAAAACAGGACAACAGATTTAAAAATTGAATTCTAGATCTAGGCCTAGTTATAAAATAATGTTGATCTAGCATAAAACCAATACATGTCTTGATAACGTAGACCGAAAACTAGATCTAGATCTACATCTACATCTAGATTATCTAGATCTAGATTCGAGAGATTTAATCTAGCCAGTGTCAGTAGTTACATAAGAAAAAAAGGCATCTAAATCTAGATCTATAGGCTTCCAGCATAATAAAAAATATGCCTGCCTTAGCCTAAATATAACTTTGATCTAGCTTACAACATAAGCAGTTTAATTTAAGATTGCCTAATAAAGGTTCATACATTTTTACTTATTTTACTAATTAGTTACATATTATTAGCCATGCATGGGGTCTGTACTGTGGGTAGGGAAGAGTTGGCGAGAAAAGAAAGAGAGCATGCAATAGCATATATAGATCTATAGGCCTATAGGCAATGATGAGGAAAGGCAACAAACTGTAGAAACAGAAAACAGATTTCGTTTTGTGTAGGCTATAGGCATTGGATAAAAACAGGAATACAATGCGACAGATCGAACCCACCAGAGGCCTATATAATAAATATTATATAACATGAACAGGTACGCGTCTTTCATGAATAATAGACTTTACTGAAGCTGGCTCTTACACGTGGGTGAATGTGACAGTCTTACTTACTAATCTTAGA